TCGTATTTGGATGATGAAGATGAGGGAGGAGACAAGTGTTCAAGTGAATGGAGAGATGTTGTCGCTGAAGGACTTCAATGGTGGGGAGGTTTTGATGCTGTCTATGAAAAGTATTGCGAACGTATGCTCTTCTTTGATCGATTAAGCTCTCACCAACTCAAAGAAACTGGTAAAAAGCTTCTTGCTTTGATGAGTTTATCAATGGCTTTTTTATGTTGCATTCTCTGTGGTTAAGCTTAAATTGGATTTGATCATTTGAAACTTGAATCGTCTCTACATGAAGTTATTAACTTTTGCTCTCCATGGATTTGTTGGTTACTCTTCACTTTCTCTCTCAGGCATTGGAATTGCTCCAAGTCCTTCAACTCCATCGCCAAGATCTGCATCTAAGAAATTGTCGTCGCCTTTTCGATGTCTTTCTCTGAAAAAGTTAGATGTTCCAGAGGAAGATACCGAGCATTTGCAGCAGACAGAGATTGACCCTTATCAAGATCTAGAGATAGCCTATGTTGCTCAACTCTGCCTCACTTGGGAGGCACTTCACTGTCAATACACGCAGCTGAGCCACTTAATCTCATGCCAACCCGAAACCCCGACTTGCTACAATTTTACAGCTCAACTGTTTCAGCAATTCCTGGTCTTATTGCAGAGGTATATAGAGAATGAACCATTTGAGCAAGGCTCAAGAGCTGAACTTTATGCACGTGCTAGAAACGCAATGCCTAAGCTACTTCAAGCTCCCAAGATCCAAGGTGATTTTTGTCAGCTCTCAACATTGTGGACTTAAACGTTTATGTGCATCATTAACACTTTTAATTTGTTTAAACATCTCAGGATCAGACAAAAAGGAGATGGAGAAAGATACGGACTTCATAGTATTCGCTGATGATCTCATCAAAATCATCGAGAACTCGATCCTGACTTTCAATGTTTTCTTGAAAATGGATAAGAAGAAACCAAATGGGGTCATTCACTTGTTTGGGAACCACAACAACAACCATATGAATTCTACTACCCCTTTGCAACTGGTTCAGTCATCTATTGAAAAGGTATGTAAAAACAATCTTACGCCTTAAGAAGCAATGCATATGGTTTTTGTTGGTGTCTCGTAACAACATTTGAGTCTCTGAAAAAACATTTGCAGAAGAGGGTAAAAGCGAAGGAGCTTGCGAAGAAAACAAAAGGGTTGAGAAAGAAATCTTGGCCTCAAACATGGGAAGGTGTTCAGCTCTTGTTTGCAGCCATTGACATTAAACTCGCATCACGGGTTGTGAGAATGGCGAAAATCAGTAAAGAGCATCTACTATGGTGTGAAGAAAAGATGAAAAAGCTAGACTTTTCTCTTGGGAAGCTTCAAAGACAGCCATCTCCAATTCTTTTCCCTTGTTGATAATATAAAAACACACAATGATTTCAAATTCAACTGTTCAATTGTGTGTTCCATTTGCTTTCATTCTCTTTGCCTTAAAAGGGTCCAATCCAAGAAACATTTGCTTTTGGTCTTAGATTCACTATTAAGGGACCATTTTCAATTAGTTGTCGTTTGGATTTAGCACAGATGAAAGAATCCAATGTTGTCTTGTTGATGGGAAACTAAAAATCTATGATCATGATGGATTCTTCTTTCACTTTCATTGTTTTTCGACAAAGTCCTTGATGATGCGTCTTTTGAATGATTATTTCTATTTATTTCATATACTATAATCAAAGAATATTAGCGTATGATACGATCCCAATCGACGGATCGGAACTTTTTAAGCGGAGCCGAATCTTAATCGGGATAGGATATAGATGGGAATGTATGGAGATGAAAGATTGGTGGAAGATGACTACAATCACACGAGTATGAAGGACTCGGTGAAGGATTGAAGGCTCGATCTACTTGGATATAACGCACCAAGATAGAAGGAGAATTCTCTCGAAGAGAGAATAGCCGAAGGTTTTAAGTTCGGCGGTTTGATCACAAGTTAGAGAGAAAAGAGATTTGATTTCAAACAGAAAAAAAAAAAACTTGGATGATCTTATTATGAGAATGACGAAACATATATATAGCCTAGGGAAGATTACATGCAACCTTCCTAGGAAATAACAACACATTAAATACAACTACTTATTTAATGAAGAACATGCAAAGGACTTTGAAAATTACAATCTCATCACAAAACCAAAACCGTAATGGGCCTTATGTAGATTCGGAATGGGCTTGTCTTCATGGATTTGAGATGTTGAGAAGCCCATGGTAAAATCAAAGAAAATTACT